TTCTTCTTCGACCCTCAACATGCAGTCAACCCTTTTTTTTTCGCCCGCCGGCCTTCTACCTTGCCAGCGCCTCAACTCCAAGCGGATGCAGCGGGAACCAGCTCCGATACCATTGAAATGAGCGAAGTACTCGTCAATTTCAACCTCGCATACATCGATGAACATTCACACGGGAGTTCACACGTGAGAAGCGAAATCGAGATACAATCAACACTTGAAGATGTCGTCTCCAATATTATTATCAATATACAAGAATGTTCGTCTTCAGTGGCCCTGCCGCACACACACACACACAATGGGTCTCAACCAGATATCGGCTATGGCTTCTCTCTTCTCTCTCTCTCTTAGTCTTGCTCCTCTCTCTGACTTGACTCGCTCTGCCTCACTCTCTCTCTCGCACTCTCAGTCTACACTAGATCGTCACCGTGGATACACCCACTTAGGTACGCTCCACCTCGGCAGCTATGGCCGCCCACCTCATGCGCTACTTCTAGCCTAGCCATGGAGTATCTCACAAGCGCCTTCGTCTTCTTCAGGCGCACAATGCCCGAGTTGCTTTAACGCACAAGCAGCAGCAGCGCTTCTGCATCTCGCAACTGACCAAGTGATGAGTCATTGCACTGTATTTGCTAAACATAGGATTCGGCTTGGCTCGTCTTGGCTTGGCTTGGTGCCACATATTGATAATGTGAACCAATCCAAGGAAACAAAATTTCAGAGATGATGCAAGAGAGCACAGCGGACTGGAATACCAGGACTGACTCAATCAGGACTGACTGCAACTCGTCATCATCATGCCGGTGAGGAGAGACTTAGCGCTGCATACATGGAAGGAGCGTTGAGTCTGGCACAACATCCGCATACGAAGGAAGGGAGGAGAGACGAAGGAGAGGAGGAGAGGGGGAAGATCAACCACCATAGCCCGATGAACCCAGTCTCCAGCAGATCCTCAATGTCGCTGCTTAACAATGTCGAAGTCGCAACGTCACTATAACGGGCAAAGCCCAGAAGTCACCATAGCCTCAATGTCACTCTCTCTCTCTCTCTCATATCCCAGTAGTAGAAGAAGAAGAAACAGAGCTCTGGGAGGGGGGAGGAGGAGCGATGGAGGGCAGGAGGAGAAACGAAGAAGAAAGGGGAGGAATCTCTCTCTCTCTCTCTCTCTCTCTCTCTCTCATAGCCCGATGAACTTAGTCTCCAGTAGATCACCAATGTCGTTGCTCAACAATGTTGAAGTTGCAATGTCACTGTAACGGGCAAAGCCCAGAAGTCACCATAGCCTCAATGTCACTCTCTTTCTCTCTCTCATATCCTTGTAGTAGAAGAAGAAACATAGCTCCAGGAGGGGGGAGGAGGAGCGATGGAGGGCAGGAGGAAAAATGAAGAAGAAAGGGGAGGAATCTCTCTCTCTCTCTCTCTCTCTCTCTCTCTCTCTCTCTCTCTCTCTCTCTCTCTCTCTCTCTCTCTCTCTCTCTCTCTCTCTCTGCTGTGTCCCGGGTACTAACTTGCAGAAAGGTGGCACCTTGATCCAGGTACGGATGTGTTGAAGACGAAGCTGGAGCTATGGCGTCACAGGTAAGTCCGCATGTGTCCCCTAACCTCCACCCAACACCGCACTACTCCCTACTCCTGCTGCTCAAGAGCTGATGTCGTCAACCTCCAACAGCGCCTCCGCGCTCTACTCAAGTGCTACTGTGCCCGCGTCGACTACTGAAGACTAAAAGCACTACCTACGGACTCACTGGTCAGCCAGCTATATATAGCGCTGGTCTGTGGTGAGTCCGGCCTCAAAACTGCTGGCGCCCAAACTAGCGCTCTCCAAAAGTGCTTGGCGCCGAAATGGCGCTACAACTTGGACTGGGCCAGGGCCTGAAGCGGGGTCCAGCTGCGGTCCTGCTGCTGAACAGACATAGGGGGCCTAACCTCGGCCTCTACTCGGGTACTGGTCCTAAACTGGACCGATAACAGGCCTAATCTGGCTTGATGACCCTCCGGGCCCTACTACGAACCAAAACGACGCCTGTCTACAACGGGCCCCAACCCCTACTAACCCATATCCTACCTGTCGGGCCATGCGGGGCCCGTGTGGGACTGAGTATGCCACACCCCCTCTTCCTTGAAAGACCGAGCGTACTGGCAAGGGCGAAGCTGTCTCTCGGAGGGAGGGATCGAAGTCGAGGTGGGAGGGGCAGGTTGGGAAGCTTCCTTTGCTAGTTGTTGCTTCTCGTAGTGGGTGTAGATAAGCAGTGAGGATGCTTGCAATTCTGCTTTCAAGATCCAACGCGTGTCGTTGCAGTCGCATTGCTTGAACGTGACCTTGTACTGAATTGGCTTGTTGCTGTATTTGCGATGCGTGATGACTCGATCAATCTCTTGGTGGTCATCCATCGAGGGAGGGTCCTGTGATCGCCCTCCCGAGAAGTCGTCGCTCTTGGCTGGGATGTAGGTAGCCATCTTAGAGGCGTGGAAGACAGGGTGGGCCGGGAGGTGAGGAGGAATGTCGATGACAAATGAGGGGCCATCTGGTTGGTCGCCCGCAGCGAACTTGACAATCCAAGGTCCAAACCACTTTGGGAGGAGTTTGCGCGAGGCATCCTGCTGGAGTGCGAACTCCTGAGAGAAGACCCATACCAGATCGCCTCGCGGATAGGACATGGTATACGGCGCCGATTGGCTTGCTGCTGCATGCGGATTTGTGCCTTGAGCATATTAGCGCAGGCTTTGGCCAGCAAGTCTGCCACAAGGCCAATCCACTCGCTTGGTGGCAAGGCTTCACAACGGAGTTGGGACTTCACGACATCCCGGAGTGCCTCAAGATTGGGGCACTTTACCTCAACACCACCAGCGCGTGCCCACCATGGCCACTCATGAGGGAGTAAACGTCCAAGACCTGCACACCAGCCTCAGTTGGGACATGATCACAGCCAAGTGGAAGGCCGGATTCATCGTCAGCGATGCCCAGGCACGAGGTGTGAATCAGATCTTCAAGATGTTTCAAGGCAGTCAACCGACGCGTGAGTGGTTTGCGGAGTGGCAAAGATTGTTGCCGTCCCCAACCTCGACATGTCGTTCGAACACTTATGACGTATCTTCTTTCAACGCTCGCTAGACTCCTTGACATCGGCCCTTGGAGAGATGGAGAACTACACCGACTTCGATTCCATTATCAAACGCGTGCGTGCCATCATCCAAACCAATTCGCGGGCTGTAAACGAAAAGCAAGGCCAACCGACCTTTGTGGAGAAAGGAAAGGCCCCACGGACACAGCCAATGCCTGCAGTTCAAAGCAATGGACCCATCGAGGACCCAGCGTGAACGCTTGAGTCAAGTGATGGAGACAAAGTGAACACCCTCCCGCCGCGACGCACTTCTTCCAAGAAGAAGACAAAGGCAAACTTCGCGTCGACATCAGGAGCCGGACAGTCGAACCGTGCTTGGGAAAAATTCAAGCTTACGGAGGAGCAATTCAAGCTCCGCCAAAAGTGGGGATGCTGCTTTTGGTGCAACAACATCAAACACATACCCTCTCAATGCCCCGACAAGGGCAACGAGGACGTTCAACCCAAGGCAAGCTCGGGAAACTGAGCTCCGTGGGAAGTGAGGCGACTCCACTTCCCATTCCGCCGGACACGGCTTCCTTGCTAGCAGTCTCCAACGCGTTCGGGGAGCATGCGGATGTCGCAAGCTCTCGTCGTACTTACAAGGGCTTCGTTGTTCAGCTGGTCCCTCCGTTGGACCTCCCACTCCACGTGCAACACTCAAGCGTATGTGCGGTTTCTTTACCGTCGGCAAGCGTTCCGGTACCATCGCCAACCTCATCATCTGGGGACTCGTCGGTGTGGTCAAGACTCACCTCGACGCGTTGACGAAGGAAGATTTACCAGCTCCGTTGACGGAAGACAGGGTAGTGGTTGTTGACCTTTGCGACTACCTTGTGAAGATCGACCTCGAGTACGCAACGCAATGGTACGACGACACCGACGCACCGTTACTTTACATTTGCATTTAGATCGGAAAGGCGACCTGCAACACTTTGATTGACTGTGGAGCTACTCACAACTACATCAGCCAGGACTTCATGACGCGCGTCGGCCTTGGACTGCTCGATCGAAGGAAGACGCACCCTACGCAAGTCACATTGGCGGATGGTCTCATGCACAAGTCAGTTGACCAGTGCATTGACTCCGTCCCCGTATAGTTTGCCTTGGACGCACGCAAGGCCGTGCCCTTTGAGATTCTGGACATCGATATGATCTCGGGCATGTAATGGCTGCGCAACAAGGACCATCTGGTGAACTTCTATCGCCGCACCGTTCAGGTACGTGATCGAAATGACACATTAGTCTCGTGCACGGTTCCTCCACCTCACCCTTCTATTGGTTGTCATGTGGTTTCCATGGCAAGCATTAGCAATTCCATCGCACTGAACGACTTCGAAGAAATGGGAATTTGTTTCTTGCATGCCTTACCTCCGACGGACGCACCAGCTTAGGAAGTGCCACCGGATCCACGCATCATACTTCTTGACTCGTATAGCGACATCTTCAATGCCCCCGTGGCCACGAGATCATTCTCGAGGACGGTGCCGTACCTCTGCGCGGCTGTATTTACCGCATTAGCAAGGAGGAGATTAAAGTACTTCGCACACAACTCGACGACCTTCTTGACAAAGGATGGATTTGTCCTAGCTCCTCGGCATACGGTGCCCCTGTTCTTTTTGTCCGAAAAAAGAACAAGGATCTTTGTCTATGTATAGACTATTGCAAACTTTATGCACAAACTGTTAAGAATGTCGGCACGCTCCCACGTATTTGTCGAAGTTGGACCTTAAGTCCGGGTACCACCAAATTCAGATCCTCCAACGAGACCTATACAAGACCACGTTTAAAACGGATATGGGCACTTCGAGTGGGTCGCCATGCCATTCGGCCTCATGAATGCCTCGACCACCTTCCAAGCGGCAATGACGACGGAGTTTCGAGACATGTTGGACCGGTTCGTGCTCATCTACCTTGACAACATTTTGGTGTATAGCGGACATTGGACGAGCACCTCGATCACCTACGAACCGTGTTGGAGAGGCTTCGTATGACCAAGTACAAGGCCAACCGCGACAAATGTGAATTTGCCCAGCAAGAGCTCGAGTACTTGGGCCATTTTGTAATGCCGCAAGGCATTCGTTCGCTTGAGGACAAGATCCAGGCCATCCAAGATTGGTCGGAGTCGACCAACACCATGGAGATTCGTTCTCTCCTGGGATTGGCAGGCTACTATCAACGCTTCATCAAGGGCTACGCACGAGTTGCCGCACCTTTGACACGATTTCAGTCCCCAAAGGTGCCCTTCGAGTTCACCGATGAGGTGCGCGCTGCCTTCCATACGCTTAAGATGACAATGCTCATGACTCCCGTTTTGAGCATCTACAATCCCACTTTGCCTACGCAAGTGACTATGGATGCGAGCGGCTACGACACTGGGGCAGTTTTGGAGCAGCATGATGGTCCTGATTGGCACCCAGTCGAGTTCTTTAGCCAAAAGATGACACCCATCAATTCGCTTGATGACGCGAGGAAGAAGGAGTTGCTGGCTTTCGTTACGGTACTTAAGCGGTGATGGCACTTTGTCGTAGGTTCACTTGGGTCAACGACAACAATCCATTGACCTACTACAAGACGCAAGACACGGTGAGCAGCACAATCGGCCGATGGATGTACTTCATCGACCAATTCGACTTCACACCCAAGGATATCTCCGGCCTCTCGAATCGCGCGGCGGACGCTTTTTCACGGAGACCCCATCTCTGCGCTGTCGAGCGCATCGGTCCGGCACCGCAGAAGGCAGCGCGGGACCCTCCCGGCCTTGTCACGCAGGAGTCGGTTTGATCCTCGTTGCAACTGCACATGGAGCTTCCGCAAGCCGCTCCGGCCGAGTGTGCCAGCCATACCTCTTGCGAGACCCTACGACAGGACAGGGCCTATGCGAGGCACGACTTACCTCCACCTTGCGGGAGTTGTCACCTCCCTTCGGTGGGCGTGTCCCTGCCGAGCTACCAGTCCACAATACGAAAGCTAATCAGCTGCAATCGTAGAGGTGGACCAGCCGAGGGCGTTTCTCGTTCGCTGTAGCATAGGGGTACGCGCAGTAATACGCCTCTATCGGACCCGCACGCGAACCGACATCTTGGGGGGTTGAGGTCCCAAGCGCGACTCATCGCCGGTCGACTAGGACGCATCCCACACTCCACGCACACACCACTCTAAAGAACGTTAAAAAAACATGCATACATACATATACACGAAACGACACAGAACAAACAACGCGACAACACTCCTAGTCCCTCAGTAGCCATCCCATAACTCTTCGACGCGGAAATCGGATAGACGTCGCGCGCAAGACTTTAGTATAAAAATCGCGCGGACGTAGGGTCTTCCCATATCGATTAGCAATGCATGAATATGCAAGCAGTCGCAATGATGGCGTACTATGTAGTGCCCATAATCAAGCGGTCGCTCGTAGATCCGAGCACCGCTTATGACACTCAAGTGTCAAACTCGAAGTATCGTGAAGGTCTACCCCTTCACGATATTGCACGGCTGAAGGAATAGTCGTGCGGCCTCCGCGGCACCTCCGGCCTTTACGCTGAGTGTCTCGGCAGGCAGGGCAAATAGACTCTGCGCGGGGGGAGATCCCTTCCATGCAAAGTCTAGGGCCTGGGATGTCCTGGACAAGGACCTCGAATTCGGGCCCAGGACCAACGTCCGACTAAAAAATCTTTAAGAAGCATTCAACAATAAAGCGGGGTTTTCTTTCTTTTCTCAATCTCAACCCTTATTTAACCCTGAAGCGTGGGCCCTCTCAAGCCACGCGAACACCCAACATAGGTACATACGTATATATATGTGAAGGGGAATAAGTATGTGACGATCACTTCTCACAATCACAGTGGGACTCCTCACAGCCATATATATGTGTGTGATCGCAGACAGTCAAATCCAAAATCCGAACCACAGAACATACCTGCAATCACATCAAAGAGTCTACCAAAAGTTCACGCACTACACGGAGTCAAGTTCAGCCAACCTCTATACTCATACCCCTCGCTTTAACCATGTAAGGCCCAGCCCTTGTCCAACCAACCATAATTAAATACTCAGTACCTTTGTTAAATGGCCATTCAATAAAAGTCCGGGTGAAAACCTTAAGAAAACAATAAAAATCACCAGGGCTAAAGCCTTTTAGGTTGAGTATTGAGGATGAATTGGAGTTAAGTCGTAGATCGACGAATCGGCAATGACCTGTTATCAGTGATAACAGAAGGTGATCCTTGTTGGATCAAATTGAATCTAGTCCTGATTTTGAATCAAACGTTCTAGACGACCTGGAACACAAGACATGCCAACCCCCAACTAAATCTATGAGTCCAAATCGAGAGTAATCTCCATATCACGTTTTCACCAAGAATCATTCTACTTAACTAATCCTGAGTCTACCCCTAAGTCAATGCCTAATGAAAAGGTAGATCTTTGGCAAAATCTCCTTTATGCAGAGTGGATTGTCAGAATTGCCACCTGTCAAGATATAATCTAACTCCTCTAAACTAAGAAAATTTCGGCAGCGCTTCCCGTAGGAAAAGTGCCTTCTCAAATTTTATAATAACTCAAATATGCAAAAAAAAAATAATTTTTAATTATGGAAAGTCAAAATTTATCTAACTCCCTGAATTAGTAAAATTTGGGCAGCACTTCCTTTAGAAAGGTAGACTTCCCAGATTTATACTAAGTCAGATATGAACTCAGACATAAAACCTGAGTTCAATTGACAAAATTTAACTAACTCCTTAGATTTGTAGAAATTTCGGAAGCGCTTCCCGTAGAGAAAGTGTTATTCCAAGATTCATACAAAGCTAAGTTCATAATCTAAAATGACTTTGACTTTTCAAGGTCTAATTTTGTCTAACTCCCTGAATTAGCAAAAAATTGGGCAGCACTCCCTTTAGAAAAGGAGGTGTTCCAAATTTTTACTAAGCCAAAAAGTCAGAAAAGTTGGACCCTGAAAAATACAGAATCTGACTAACTCCTTGGTTTTGTAGAAATTTCGGCAGCGCTTCCCGTAGAGAAAGTGGCTTACCAAGATTTATACAAGCCCAAGTGTAATAAAAGATATAAGAAAATGCAGAAATTGACCTAAGTAAAAAAAAACTTAGCTCAAAAAATGCAGGAATTGAAACTAACTCCTATGGCTCTAGCACGTGGGGAGCAACTAAAGCAACTACGTATCAACTGAAACTCATATTAAGTAGTAGTCGCGCTCAGTCTCATGCAGGCCAAACCATAAAGGTAAGTACTCTCAGCATCCCAAAATCAATCTTATCAAACAATAGTTCATGATCTTTCAATGATTTATCCCTTTATACCCAACTTACGTAAGGCATAAAACCAGACCACCCAATCTTATGTGAACCTGTCTAGCTCAACCATAGAATATACACAAACACATGGCACTACTACTTTTCTCTTCTTTGGGCATGTGACTAGGTCACCCTAGTCGCCCTGAAACCATTTAAGTATCCAAGTTATATATAGATGTCTGCACTTTATCTTTTAAGGCAACATATAACTGAACTGGTCATCTTAGATCAAGATTCAACCTATCCCTTCTTACCACAATTTTATTCTTAATTCATACTCTCTTCAGTTGGTGATAAGCTATAGTCAGACCATCCAATCTTATGGAAAAATGTCTGACTAGCCTGTTCATAAATAAGTAGTATAAGATATAAACAAGTTTACCCTTTGTGTTCCAGCATGTGCATGGCTCCAGACCGAACCACCCAATCTTATGGGAACCTGTCCAGTCCTTTGCCTGACTTTCTCCCTTAGAAATAAAACAATAGAGAGTTAGGGTCATCCAATCTTATGGAACGTGCCCAACTCTCCTTCAGAAACTAACAAAATATAAGAAACCCCAAAGAAACCAAGGCGACTAAGTCATCCAATCTTATGGAAAAATGCTTGGTCCCTGAAAATCAAGCACATGCAGCCCTCACAAGTCAAATCAACCAGACCACCCAATCTTATGGGAGCCTGTCGGGTCCTTCAGGCAATCAAAAATAAACATAGCATTGGGCCCTCCAATCTTATGGAGACTCTCCCAGCCTTAGGTTGACCCAGTCAAAACATGCAATATTGCCTTCCTCCCATCCTTCCCCCAGATGCAATCCCACAATCTGCTTTCAATCAATACAACAAAAAAAATTGAAACTGAGCGTGCCCAATCATTCATTTACTTAAGTTTGGTTTGTCCTGAAAGTTGAAGTAGGGATGCAGGCAATATACTCAGTCAAGTCAACCATTGCAAGAAATAAAGGTAGGGGTTATACTTGGGTTTATAGGAGGAAAGCAAATGATTACCTCTTAGTTCCCTGCCTCCAGAATTCCTCCTGAGTTCCGGCAGGGCTCCCGCAATCGGTGGGCTGACTCCCCACAGTCTTGTTGCGGTCCTACGGGTTGCAATCCCGCGTGCCGCCTTCCTCTCAGAACAGGACTAGACTTAGAGTAAGAAGGATAGAAGGAGGGGTTTGAGACTCTCGAGATACAGGAGGGGGACAACTCAACTCCCAGGAGAGGGCCTTGTTATCTTGATTCGCCTGAGGGCCCCACAATGGCCGCCAGAATGCGTAGTAGCTTGGTCAAACCAACGTCAATCTTTAACCGTTGACTTCCCGACGACCCTCTAAACCGTAGCAAAAACTCCCTTCAACAAGCTCTGCCCCTTCGCAGCTCGTAACCCGAAGCATACTGGCCACAGGTAAGCCTGCACCTTCGTCGTTGGCCTTTCGCTGTACAGGCTGACAGACTAAGTGGCACATGACCAACAGACAAATCTGCAGTCCCCGCGGCCGGTCTGTTGTAGCTTTGTTAGACGTGTTGGTCACTACATCAGCCAGCCGATAAGGTTCTAAGTCTGCAGCTCGGTTGTTCCGCCGCTTCAATCGATGTGATGGACAGCGCGCCTTTCAGCAGGTAAGTCTCCAGTCTGGTGACTGCCTCCTGTTGCTTCGCTCTACGGGATGGTAGTGAGACAGCCACTGAAAAACCTTCAACTTCCGTAGCTCGTTCCTTTGCTCTTTCCGACCCGGTCAACAGGTAAGTCCCCAACCTGGTGACTGCCTCCCGCTGCTTCGCTCGATGAGATGGTAGCGAGTCAGCCATAGGTAAGTCTTCAAACCCATGGCTCCCCCTCGCCACTTCGATTGCTCGGACTAGCAAAATCAGAGTGAATCCATCGTTCGAGCACGAAATCATTCGCTACCTTCTCTCAAACTGATCCCACCGCGAGAATCGAGTGAGTTCCCGTTAGCACACATAGATAGTCACTGCCTTCCCAAACCCTGTTGGCACAGTGGATGGCTACTTCCTTCGATAGGATACTCCAGAACGGAACGAATCGCCTACCAAAAGATAGTCGAGTACATCGCCTGCATTCACACGTACGGCTCAACACCGTAGCCCGACTTTCGGTTCATCTCGCATCCGCCAACTCTTCTTCGAGGTAAGTTCTTTCTCCCCCCTCTCTCTTTTTCCGTTCCGCTTGTTTCGTCCGCTGCCCA